TACCAATACTTTAAAGTTTACTGAGATATATCCCAGTCCCCTTAAACTCAGTTCTGTGAACTATCTCTCAATTTCTGCTCTTTGTTTCATTTCTGGGTATTTATAGCCCACATGAGAGAGATCACTCTGTATCCATCATTCGCTTATGACAGACTTTGCTCAGTATGATAACCTCTAGCTCCATCCACATCCAAGTTATTGCATGATTTCACCTTTTCTTACAGCTGCACAAGGTTCCATAATGTAACTATGCAACAGTTTCTTGATTCACTTGTCAATAGTTGAACATTTGGGCTGACTCCATATCTAGGCTATTGTATGAAATGCTACAGTCATTATAATGTGCATATATACTTTGAAATTCATGTTTTTATAGTTTTGAGATAGATGTCAAGAAGCGATATTGCTCAGTTGCATGGAAGTTCTATTCAAAGAAAACAAATTTCTATATTTCTTTTCATTGAACAAGACATCCTCACAACAAAGAATGAGGGTTCTCTTTTCACCACAACCCTCTACTCATTTCTCTTGGAGTGGAAAAGTTTCATAATCTGATGTGGTCCCCTTTGTCTTTATCAGCTCTATTTTTTTGTCCTGTGGTTTGAGTCAAGTGGTTCCTTGAGATAACTCTAAGGAGAGTTGTGAGATTTTTTTTTATTTGCTCTCTGGATTTGAGTCACGTATCAAGGTTTTTAATCCATTTAAAATTAATTCGCTGCATGGTAAAGATGGATTCAGATTCCTTTTAATTTTTTTTTTAATGTAGCTATCCTGTTGTCCTCTTTGTTGAAGAAGCTCTCCTTGTTGCTTATCATGTATCTAGGCAATTTTGCCAAGGTATTGGGACATAATCCATTCACTTTAATTTGCTTTTGAATATTTTTAATGTCTCAATGTAGCACAGCGGGTAAGGCGTTTGTCTTGCACGTGGCGACCCAGTTGGCCCAGGTTTGATTCCTCTGCCCCTCTGGGAGAGCCCGGGAAACTACCGAGAGTATATTGCCAGTATGGCAAAGCCTGGCAAGCTACTCATGGCATATTCGATATGCCAAAAACAGTAACAAGAAGTCTCACAATGGAGACGTTACTGGGCCCGCTCGAGCAAATCAATGAACAATGTGAGGACAGTGCTACCTTCCAATTGTATTTTTATCAAGTCAATTAATGTTCAGGATTATGTTATATCATCTCTACTATTTTGATCTTTTAATAAACCTTTTATGATTGATTTGTGGTTTCATCAGTACAGAAAATTTGCCTTGTTAGGGCGCGGATCGTGATCTCCCTTTAACGACAAAGAGACTCCAGAGACTGCAAACAGTAAGCAAGGTTTATCGTAAGACTGGCTAGCCAGGGTCAAGCCGCCTACACAGACACGCAGGTGAGTTAGGTGAGGCAAGACTCCGACCTTCTTCAAAGGCCTTCACTGGCCGTTACAGCAAAGCCCGCGCATTTCATAGCCAATAGATTTGTAACAACATATGCTTTCTTAACCAATCCAATTAAGGGTACTTCACTTCTTAGCCTTAGCATTTTGCGTCAGTGCTTAGAAACTGAGAGGTTTTAAAGGCAGTCCTGGGTCTTGCAACATGGGTCTTGTGAGAGACATCCGGTTATCTGGTCTGACCCCCACCCTTCGAGTACCTGTATCTGAATTCCTTGCTCAGGGGTAGAAAAACCAGTTATTTTGCAGTGCAGGCTCCTATAAAGCGGATCTGAAAAAGCTTATCTAGACCTGTTCCTTGAAAAACAAGTTATTTTGCAATGCAGGTTCCTATTAAGCTAAGCTAAATTAATTCTGGTGGTAGTCCATTTTGGGCCTGTCCCTTACAGCCTGATTTGAGTTCACTTTTCTCATATTTTTTGAGAATTTTTTTCTGTCCCCACATAGGCTTTCTCTGGTGACTATTCCAGAAACTCATGAAAAGAAGGTGTGTTTTGTTGCTTAATTTTGTGCGCATGGAATTTGTCACCCTAGGTGATACTCCGGGTCTATTCCTGGCTCTGTGCTCTGGAGTGTCCCCTGGTGGTATTTCAGGGATCAAACCTGAGTCAGCTGTTTGCAAAGTAAGTGCCTAGCCTCCTCTATTATTTCTTTATGCCACTTGGTAGTATATATATATATATATATATATATATATATATATATATATGTGTGTGTGTGTGTGTGTATTTGGTGTATTTGTTTAGGGACACACCGGTAATATTCAGGGGTTAATTCCAGGCTGAGAACTCAGGAATCAGTCTTTGTGGTACTCAGTGGACCATTTGGAGTGCTGGGAATTGAACCCAGCTCAGCCGCATGAAGGCAAGCACCTAAGAAAGTTGTACTCTCAGTCTGGTCCCTAGTCTAGTGCTTTTTAAATAAAAACTTATTGACGTGACTTTGGTAGCAAGAGAATAAATTCTTATATACTTATCTTATATTGTTTCAGAGAAAATGTTATTACACCCTGCCAGCCACCGGAACACTACTCTTTGGATGGAATGTTCTGCACCAATAGTATATTCATTTAATATGTATTATCTCTTTAATGCATCACTCAGATAATTATTTTCTTGTTAAGTTTCTTATGGATTATTCATCCTTTGTTATAAATTCATTTAAATTCCTGTTTTTGTATTACTATAAATATTCCGCTCAATGTAATTCAATAGTTGTTTACTTTATTTTGTGTTCCTATAATGATTACATATATTTTAATAAACTATATCTTGGTAGTTGCAAGCTTTATAAATACCTGGTTTCCATAACTTTCTCTTGCTACTATATTGTGCTGAAAGTATATCTTATGATATAGCTTCTTTAGCTTTTCTTTCATTATCATTCACTTTGTAGACCTTTCACTTTTCACCTTTCACCTTTCAATGGGTCTATGATTGTTTATACACGGTGTTTTGGTTGTTGTAAATAGTATACGGCTTGCCTCTCTCTCTTACTCTCTCTCTCTTTCTCACTCTCTCCCTTGCTCTCTTTGGTTATGGAACACCTAGCTATATTAGGACTTACTCCTGATTCTGTGCTTTGTAATATTTCCAGGTGTTGCTTGGGATATTGTAGTCTGGCTGGGAAGCAAACCCAGGTCAGATGCAAGCAATGTAAGCTCTGAACTCACAGTAACATTGCTCTGGATAAAGAGAAACACTTTTAAAATCGCATTGTTTGGTGATTGTTGTGTTCTTAAGAGTTCTTGTAACTATATAGGTGTTCTTAAAATGTCATGAATATGTAATTTTTCAATGAAATATTTTCACTCTAGACTATATTGTATCTTTATAATAGTTACTAGTGCATATAGTGTCATTACACAGTTTTGTTCCTTACATATCTCTCAAAAATTTGTCTTCATTCATTCTTGTAAGTAAGTTAGTTTCTGAAAAGCTCACGGTGGCCTTGCTAACTCAGACCATAGTCTTAATTATTACTCACACTTGTGCCAACTAGCAACTTTAGAGTGATGGATTTGGTTTGATAGTGGTAATGTTTGATAGTGTTTGGTAATGTTTGATAGTGATGCAAGAAGAGAGAGAACTCTTTTTAAATGACTTAGAGTGAAAGCAAATACCTGAAATTATTAGAAAGGAGAGAAAAACAATCAAGTGGATAAATGGAAACATCAGTCATGATAACAATGGAACTCATGTTTTATCTATGTATAAATGATATAAAGACCTATAATTTATATCTTTACATGATTATGCATTAATATAATCACATATGTGTCTACATTTTATTTGTGTACATTGTTTTCATATATTACATGTCACAGATGTCTATTGTAAAATACAAAATTTCCATTATTTATGTAATTTAAATATATATGTAGATATTTGATAATAAACCTTTCAATAAGAAAGATATGGGTTGTCTCAATTGCTTCCTAATTCATCTTTATACTGTTTTGTCAGAGCATAAAGAAAGTGTATAAACCTAAAAAGTATATCATGTTCAATATTTAGACAAGTAATGCATATGTTAAATAGCCACCTGGATCAAGAAAAAAACAATTCTGATACCCCCTTAGAATTAATTTTGAAGAAGTAACTAAAATATTATAGAGAGAAAGCTTTCAAAATTGTGTCCTGAAATTTATTTAATAAAAAATTGAATTCATTTAAAACTGTACAATTATTGTAGGGGCCATCTCTAGTCTGGGAGCTGGGGAATCCCAGTTGTTCTTGAGTGGGGATGAACTGATACTGATTAAAAACAGTCATCTGATGGCAAAATAAGATCCTGAGGAAGGGTATGAATCCATACTTAAGAGAAAATGAAAAGTAAACATTAAAATTTTATAATGGGAAGGTTAGAATAAAATAAATTTGAAAATATGATTTATGTAAGCCTTTATTCCTTTCACTTTCTCTTTACTGTTCAGTCTGGTTTATAAAACCTTTTTATGTCAACAGAGTGGAACATGGGAATACCAAGCTCTCTGAGATGTTTGTGTGTGTGTATGTAAACAGGTTTATCAGAGCTCTCAGAACATCTATTATTGTGTAATAGCTTTCTTATTTATTCATATATGTTGTTATCTTATTCAGGCTAAGTTGTTTGACTTATAGAACATCATCTTATTAGAAATCAACTTTAGTGCTTGTTTTATATCTTTGTTTCTCAGGCTGTAGATAAAAGGGTTCAGCATGGGGGTGATTATCATATACATCACAGAAGCAGCTATTTCTTTTGCACCAGATATGGCTGGTGAGGGTAAAAAGTACACTTTTGTAATGGTTCCATAGAATAAAGCTACAACTAGGAGATGGGAACCACAGGTAGAAAGGACTTTGAAGAATTTCTTAGCAGAAGGATTTTTCAGAACGGTGGCCCATATGCAGATATATGATCCCATGATAAAAGTGAATGGAATATATACAATCATTGTTCCCTCAATTAATTTTACCAGGTTATTGAGGGAAGTGTCTGAGCAGCTTACCTCCAGCAATGCAGTGAGTTCACAGAAGAAGTGGGGGATGGTAATAACACCACAGAAGGACACTGGGATCAAGAGCAGGGTGTGGATCAGTGCGTGTGAAAAACTGAAGATCAAGGACCAAGCTACTAACGTGATACATCGTTCTTGCCTCATGATCATGTTGTAGTGGAGTGGCTGACAGACAGCTACATACCTGTCATAAGCCATCACTGCAAGAATAAAATTGTCAGTACAAATAAATAATATTAAAAAATACATCTGAGTAACGCACCCTGAATAGGGGATGGACTTGTGAATACTCTGCATGTCCACTAACATTTTGGGAACCGTGACAGTTGATAAAAACACGTCGTTGAAGGCCAAGACACTGAGGAAGAAGTACATGGGGGTGTGGAGACGAGAGTCTATCCTGATAAGTAGGACAATGAGCAAGTTCCCCAACATGGTGGCCAGGTAGATGACCAGGAAGAGCATCAAAAACCAGCCCTGTTCTTCTGATGGTATAGGGAGACCCAGGAGGAGGAATTCAGAAACTCTGGTCTCATTCTGTCTCTTCATGATGCTCCTCTTTCTTCTGGGACTCAAAAAGAAGGAAATGTTCAGAACCCGAATAGCCATATTATAGTAACACAATTTTTATATGAAAGTGTTGTTAGTTTTTAACTAGACTTTGTCCACTACTCACATGTATGTATGCATGAATCACCATGTACCTTTCAGGTTTGACTAATACATCACATATTCACAATTTATAAGGTATTTTCATAATCTGGAAAAATACTTTGAACAACAGCTTAACTCATGCCCTGTACAAAGCACTGTACAAAGTGCTATATACAATAGTAAGCAAGCAATGCAAGTCTCAGTGCTGAAGTGGTGTACAAAATCACAATATCTAGGTGTGCAAAGTTGCAGTACTGCTACAGATAATGGTGAAATGGATGACCACATGTATCTAACCAAAATCTGTCTCTTAATTACAATACACTGGCTCATCTGAGCTGAGACGTGGCAGCTGAAGACCTCCGGAACCAGCCACAGCCATGCTTAAGACCACTCTCCACATGTTTGGGTGAACTTCATGCATGAAGAAACTGTCAGAGGAACTCAGGTGTGCAGGACCTGGGGCTGAGATCTCCAAGCCTGCTCGGATCGGGACTGGGCCTCCTCCACCCAGATCCCCCATATTCCAGTAGCTAGGCATTACACCCACCAACTGCCCCTGGTGCCATGTTATTCCATCAATTGCCAAGACCCAGGGACTATAAAACCCAGCTCCCGGAAATGCGACTGCATGACCTCTTAGCCTGGCAAGCTCCCCGTGACATATTCGATATGCCAAACACAGTAACAACAAAGTCTCCAATGGAGACGTTACTGGGCCCACTTGAGCAAATCGATGATCAACGGGAGGGCCTTTACTTTACTTTTACTTTACGCTCTTCGAGAACCCGACAAGCTACCGAGTGTATTCTGCCCACATAGCAGAGTCTGGCAAGCTCTCCGTGGCATATTCGTTATGCCAAAACCCAGTAACAATGATGGGTATCATTCCCCTGACCCTGAAGGAGCCTCCAATGTGGCACTTGCTAAAATCTTAGGGCTAGGACAAATGGAGACTTTACTGGGGCCTGCTTGAGGAAGTCGATGAACAACAGGATGACAATGATACAGTGATACAATGGCTCTCCTACTCCTCATTTGTCAGCATGTCCTGACATGGTAAATGACATCACTCCAACATAGTTGAAAGAGGGAATCTTTGATGACCTTTGTATTCAAGATAAGTAGCATAATGGCAAGTACTTCTTAGAGACTGAACTGCTCAGGGACATTGGTTCTATCTCTCCGTGTTCTCTAAGGTGGATTATGACTGAGTATGTGAGGAGACACCACAATAAACTAACAAACTATAACAAACAGAGAGCCTGATTTTCATAGGATTTAACTTTTGATTTAATGGCCATGCTGGGACCACTGTCCACATGTCCGGATGGGCTTCATGCATGAAAGAATTGGCAGCGGAACCCAGGCATGCAGGTGTCGGGGCTGAGGTCTCCAAGCCTACTCGGATTGGGACTGGGCCTTTTCCAACCAGACCCCCCATTTTAAAGTAGGTAGGCGTCACACCCACTAGCTGCTGACAGCGCCAGGTTGGTCCCATCAACGGCCAAGATGCAGAGACTATAAAATCCAGCTCCCAGAAGCACGTGGCTGCAAGTGTGGCCGCACGACATCTTATTAATTTTTCCTTTGGAGAAACTGGCAGGCTACCAAAAGTATCCTGCCCGCACAGCAGAGTCTGGCAAACTTCCCGTGTCGTACCCAATATGCCAAATACCAGTAACAATGATGGGTCTCATTCTCCTAATCCTGAAAGAGCATTGAAATGGCTCTTTTAAAATCTTAGGGCTAGGAAGAAGGAGACATTACTGGTGCCTGCTCGAGGAAATCGAGGAACAACAGGATGATCGTGATTGTGATCATTAACTTTTGATTATTGTTGTCCTTCACCCAGGAAAAGAGGAACAGATCATGTTCACAAAGAGTGTGAGATACCTATTTAGACAGGTTTATTTCATAAAACTTCTATATGTATTGTCCCAGAATTTGGAGATTTATGAACATTGAAGATTTATAACAAAAACATTTAGTTTGAGGAAAGATTATTAAAATCTGTCTTGAGATTCTACACTGATTATTTGCCAGACACAGTGCTGAATAACTAGTGAATACTTTTCCATTTAAGATCTCAATATAGCATTGTGATTGAGACTAAGTCACCTTTCTTTACCACCGGAAACTGAACATAAGAGACAAACATAGCAGTTCCAGACTGTGGATTAGACCGTTTCTGACCTATTGAGATACTGGAATCAAATTTGTATACTTACCAGGAGCAAGAAATGTACCCACCTGATGGCTCAATGCAGTAATGCAGCCATCACTGACAGACTCCTGAGTGTCTGTGGGCATAAAGATGGGACCCAGTAGTCACAAATACCACCAGAGAAATATTGTAGAAATCATACATAATTAATAACTAATAAAAGCAGAAAGCTTGGGTGACATGCAAAGATAACATAAAAGACATAAAGAAAAAAATGATTACACATCACCACATGATTGAGTTAGGATTTTAAAACTCTCCCATGTGACCATGGGCAAACTCAGGAAGTTTCTCTTCCTTGCTGGTGAGCATATCCATGTCTCTTCAGACTTGGCAATAAGGTAAAGGTAAAAGGTAAAGGCTCTCCCGTTGATCGTCGATTTGCTCGAGCGGGCCCAGTAACGTCTCCATTGGAGACTTTGTTGTTACTGTGTCTGGCATATTGAATACTCTCGGTAGCTTGCCGGGCTCTCCGAGAGGGGCGGAGGAATCGAACTCGGGTTGGCCATGTTGGCCGCTTGTAAGGCAAACGCCCTACCCGCTGTGCTATCGCTCGAGCCAGGCTGCATGCCAAGCAAGTGCCCTATCACTGTACTGTCCGGCTCCCGCCGCTTGCCTTTCACTTTTTTTTTTTAAATTATTATGATTCTTTTATAATTACATCGCCGGGTGTAACCCAAAAAGGAAAAAAATTGTTCAGAATTCTGTCCATATCCAAACCTCAAGTGTGTCATCATGTAACCCTTTAGGACAGCATGCAGGTTTTGATGTGTTCATTCCTCCCAGAGATGAGAGAAGTTTTGTTACTTTCAGAAATATTTTATTATTTTTCTAACCATACATAGATTGAGCGGTGGGGAGGTGGAAAATAGGATCGGATTCGACTATTCAGTGTTTAACTTGGTGGGTACACGGAACCAATGGGAAAGGGGGAGATATGACAGCAAGGACCTCAGTCCCCAGCCCGAGTTTTCTGTTGGGGCTGTGAACCCCATTTCTACGACTATGTGGTGAGTGGTCTCTTGGCCTGTTGCCTTCTCCTCCAGTGAGGACTGGGATGATTTTCCAGGTGACCGACTCAGGAAGCCCAGAAAGGAGAGGTAGGACCTCAGTCCCCCGCCTGAGTGTTTTGTTGGGACCGTGAATCCCATTTCTATCGCTGTCTGGTCAGTGGTCTCTTGGCCTGTTGCCTTCTCCTCCATTGAGACTTGGCAATATCATGACTTAATTTTGATATCTGTTTACAAAGTTGAGAATGTGGAAGAGATCGAAAAAGGACAGGATAGATACTTGGTAATGGGAGTCCAAATCACACTCAGAGCGCTTTACACTTGCTTCCTGGGACTTCCCTAATGCTTTTTTCACTGGTTGTATAGAAAAGAATCTTTAAGTTCCATGTAGTTTTAGACATAACTTTTTAGATCTTGCCTTTTCTCCCTGTCTCTCTCTGTTTTTTTTAACTTTCCTTGAGTATTAGTCTCATAATATGTTTTTTTTATATCCCAAAATGTTTGCAAGCATTTTGTGTCTGACCTGCATTTTGATTCATTTACAGTAGAAACATGGGTCAGGAAGACTGGTCCATAGTTGTAAATTTGCCACAAGCTGAGGGGAGAGGTCAGTTAGGGTAGAGTTGCGACCACTAGGACAATGATAGTTGGAAATGATCACTGTGGAAAGAACTGATTGCTGAAAGGTGATAAATATGCGCAAATTAGTCAGTACCTGTATTTCAAACTATAATACCCAAAAGAAAAGAAGGATAGTGAGAGAGAGCTAGAGAAAGAGAGAAGAAAGATGTCTGCTGCAGATCATTACTGGGACTGTGGGTGGCAGAATAAAAATGAAGACATTGGTGCTCTATCTTATGTTGGTTCAATGAAAACAAAGAAAAACTTGTTTTTGAGCCACACTCAATGGCACTATGAGTTTATTACTGGCTCTGGGATTGGGGTCCTTCCTCTTGGTTCTTGGGAACCTTAGGCAATGCTGTAGATCAAACCAGGTATTTGCAGGACAAATATATTACCTTTTATCCTATATTTCAAGCTGAACTCTATCTGTTTTTCTTACTGCATCATCAGAGATATCACACAGTTACAGACACCTGTTGAGGAAACACATTTTGTCATATTACAGAAGCAAGAAATCATCACGCAGCATATGCACATGGGATGTATGTACATCCTTCTTTGCACACAGAGGCAAAACTTTCTGTCCTACAATTTTAAGCTTACTTTGATATCTTCACTCTTGGTACATCAAGAGCCTTCTCATCCAGTCTGCAAGTCTTCAGCTTCTGTAGTACTTAGGAGGAACAAAACAGTGGGATGAAAACTTCACATTATGTCAGCCTGTAATCGCTTGAGCTTTCTGTGTCCATCCCTGACCTACAAGTAAATAAAGATATAATTTTATAAACCTCATAGAGGACTAAGTCAAAGTCCCTAAGCTCCTGATTAAAGAAAGAAAGGTAATTGCCACAGCCCAATTAAACCTTGGGGAGATGGTTGAGCAGAGCTGCTCAGGCAGGCCACCTGAGAGAGCTTTCCAGGTGTCAAGAGCTGCTGGAATGGAACTACTTGCTAAGTTCTTTCTGGACACAGGAATGGTTGGGGTGTTTTTCAAACACCAATGAAGCCAATGCACATGTCTGACAGGGCTGGTT